TTTCGTTTGAATGGAAGTGTTTATTTTTTCATGTCCATATAAATCTTTAAAACAACGGTTGTTTGATTGTTTGGGCAGTAGTTTTTGAGTGACTGAGTTGAACTCTTGGGGGGGTTGAGTGGGTTTGGAGTGCTTGACTTGTTTTGGTTTGGGGTGGGTTTTGAGTGTGTGTTGGAATTGTTTGCTGTGATGCTTTGGAAAGCCATAGTCTGGACAGGGGCATGAAGATAAGAGGACAAGACAGCTGTTGCAATTGGGCAAAATGGAGTGTTTCTCACTGTCTTGGTCACTGCCTGGGCTGTTTTTTTTGGAGCTGAAGGTTTGTTGGTTTCGTTACACTGTTCATATTACTATTCATTCTTTGCTGTTTTGTTGGGGACTCAAAAATAGAGATGGCCCAAAGGCCCCTAGTAGTGCTACTGCCATGCCAAATCAAGTAGCTCAAGCCACCGGCCACTTCAAGTCAGACAACCAACTAGCATCGGGTAATAAAGAAAAGAAGAAAAAGAAGGCTTTGAAAGGTGATGAATCTATTGTGGATGGTTATGGTGATGCTGCCATGCCAAAGCCAGGAGGCCAAGTTCCCATCCAATTCTCTTTGTGTGTTGTCCATGTACTTTTTCTTTTCTTTCAATGGAAGTGTTTATTTTTTCATGTCCATATAATTGTTTGGAACAACGGTTATTGGATTGTTGTATAAATTTTGCCTGAAAGTATGAATGCAAAGTTAGAGAGCGTATACATTTTCATTGTAAAAAAGATTACCGTTTCTCCAAACTTTTAAAATAGTTTTAGGCTTAAGAGCTAGACTACTATTTAAAACGAGTATTCTTAACTTTTAAAATAGTTCTAGGTTTGATATGCACAATTCTCTTAAAAACAGTTTTCTTTACTTATTATAGATAACTGTGAAAAAAATAGTGTGACACACACTACTTCTAATACATTACTCTTTCTTATAAGTTTAAAAACAGTTATACACTAGGAAACTAGACTTCTGTTAAGAAATAGTAGTCTTAACTAATTATTGACAACTGTGGCAATAAAAACTGTATTTTTTTACGAAACCGACTACTAATAATAGATGACCGTCTCTCACAACTTCAAAAACAGTTCTACCCATAATTCATAGACTATTGTTCCAAAAGAGTCTTCTATTCCTATTATAAACAACAGTGGCAAAAAAACCATATGAAACAGACAACAAACATTAGATAACTGTTTCTAATAAATTTAAAAACAGTTCTAGAATAACAACCCAAACTATTGTTTAAAAAGAGTATTCTTAACTTGTTATTGACAACTGTTGTAAGAAAAACTGTATCTTGAACTGAGACAGACAACTAATGATACATTACCGTTTCTTGAAACTTGAAAAATAGTTTTAAAGCATAGCAGCTAGACTACCGTTCCGTTCCCAAGAAAAACTTGCAGTAGTATGTTTTTTTCAACTACTGTGTTTGCATAAACAGTAGTGAATCAACTGATGATGTTTTTGGCGTAGTGATTAACAGGTTAGGCATTTTCAACTCTATATTTGGTGCACATCCAATATTATACTAGAGAATATCACAAACATCACTCTTTTTGTTGCAATTATGGATTTGAAACACCGCCTTGTAGGAGCGCCTCATAAAATTAAGATTAAAGAAGAGAAATGTACCCCATGACCTTGATACTTGCATTTCAATGATTATGCGCTATTTTACGGAAGAGAAATTTGGGGTTAAGAGGTGGAACAAAAAGGGGGACATGTGTGTGATATACTGATATGTATGCAAGATTATTAGGAGTGTTGTTGTTGTTTATTATTAAATTTCATATGTTGCAGGCTCAATTCTTGGAATTGCGGGACGAAGCTAGAAAAAAAGGGCTTAAAGTCACCGACCAACAGATATGATACTCGCTTGTCGAGGGCCATAATGCCAAGAACCGCGTGCCTGGAGTCGGTGACTACGAGCATGAAATGAGGAAGATGAATCCGTCTTCCAAACCTCAACGTTTAGCCAAGACTAGCAGCAGCGCAATGGAGATTGCAGCACTTAGAGTGAAAAATGAAAAGCTACACGAAGAATTTGATAATCTGAGATCGAGCTTGACGTTGACCATCCAAGAGGAGTTAAAGAAACTACTTGGTGGTAACCTTCCTCCACGAGGATATGATGATGGCACAGGAGGGTCAGGACATCCTGAAGCAGTTATTTAGATATATATATATATATATATATATATATATATATATATATATATATATATATATATATATATATATGTAGAACATCTTTACATTAAGAATTTCATGTTTAACGTATGATTACGATGAATTATGTTATATTTATATGAGATTCTATGTTTTATTAATGCTCTTTGAATTTAGATACAAAACTACATTTTGTTCCCTGTTGTGAATGCATTTTGTCCCCTATTGTGAATGCGTTTTGTTTCTTATTCAGTACCTATAAAAAATGGGAAAACTGCTGTACCTCGGAGCAGGTTCAAAATTTAGCAACAAATTTACCACGGAAAAGAAAGTCCATCGCAGAAATATTGCATATACTGAAAGTAGTATCCATGGCAGATCCGTGGCTAAACTGCCACGGAAACAAAGTCCGTCACAGAATATCAAAAATAGGACGCAAACAAATCTGTTGCAGATCCGTGGCAGATCTGCCACGGATATTCGCATCCGTCGCTGATTTTGAATTTGCCACAACTTTTCTGCGACAGCTTGACTTCCTCGCTGATCCGTAGCAGATTATGCATCCGCCACGGAATTCTAGATTCTGCCACATATTTTTTCCGTGGCAAATCTGTCCATTTCTTGTAGTGGATGATGTTGCATTTTTTAAAAGTATGTCTTCTAGATAACCAACATCACTATATGGAAATAATAGAGGGTGATGGTTTCAAGATAACCCGACATATTTATAGAATTAGGTACTATGGGAGGTCACATATTAGTTTAACCATTTTAGTAATATTTATTTCCCATAATCACTGCACTTCGATTTTTAAATAACTCTAATGTGGCTTAGCAATACAATGACGACTTTCTTAAATGGGAGGTCACAATGAAATAATAAATCTATGAAAAATGATATTTATACATTATACTGTTAAAAAAAATACTTCCTCCGTTCTTAAATGTTTTTTCCAGTTACTATTCACACGATCAAATTTTAATCTCTTTCTCTACCTATTTTCATTAGTTATTTGATAAAATAATATAATCTTGTCAACTCTTGTTTTATAAAACTTTTATGTAGTTCTTAAATATATAAATTTTATTTTTTAATTTTACACACTTACAATCAAATAAATTGAATAGAAAATAAAATCAGTTATACCTCTTAAACAAAAACTAGAAAAACATTTTAGGACGAAGAGAATATCTATTTTACCATATTAATTTTTTGACTATTGTTTTCAATGTATGATAGGATAGGAGTTATGTTGTAAAGTTGTAGGTGTCACTGCGACACATGGTTCATGCATAGGATGTGTTTTACTCCGTATAAGAATTATAGTCAAACCAGCGAAGCACCAGATCGCCGGATCCAGCTCCGTTCTTTGGCGTAAAATCCAACAGTTACGAACGCAATCATTCATCACCTCCCCCCCTGAATTCACATCTAACCGATCGCCAATCACTATCTCTCAAGCTTATTTCGAGATTGGATTGGATCGGATCGTGGAGGGCTTCATCGCCGATCGACCTTGGAATTTTAGCTCTTTCCACTGCAACTTTCATCTGCCACAATGCCATCGCTCTTTGGAGGCCCAATGACAACTTTTGAGGATTCTGAAAAGGAAAGCGAGTATGGTTATGTCCGCAAGGTTCGCTTTCTTGATCTCGATCTGTGCTTGTTTGCTCTCATTTATTGCTTGATCCGACCAGTTCGAGTCTTTCTACACAGCCTATCTTGCCTGTAAAAGTGTATGTTTTGAATCAGATTCGACCTAATCCTTCTTACCTAGCACAATAGCAGATAGCTCCTATTTTCATTGATTATATATTCTGCTACAGTTCCTTATATGTATGTCTGTGGTGCAGTTATTATGTCACTTTTAACGGATTAGTTTAAATACTCTCTCCCTCCCAAATAGATTTCTCACTTTGACATGGATATTAAGAGGTTTTTTGAAAACATATTGAAGAGATGTTGGAGATAAGCAAGTGGATAAATTATTTTAGGCGTCATACTCTTTTATAAAAAGGGAAGAGGTAAAGTGGGAAATTTTTTTTTTTGGGACGTCCCAAAATGGATAGGAGAAAGATCTTTTTGGGACAAAGGAGTAACTTGAAAACCGTGTGGTCCATATTTATGCATTGAAGAGGAGACAGAAACGATTGAGTTGGAAATAAGGGAACTCGAACCCTGACATCCTGTGCAGGGTACACAACTGCCTCTCAGAGTCCCTTTTGTAAGTTCGAGATATACATGCTTTTTCATTGAGATTGGGTTGGTGGATACATGGACATCCAGAGACGAGGAAGGATGTAGCAATGGACAAAATGCTTCCAGTTTTCCACTGAACTTAATAAGATACCAATCACAACCCAAGACGTTATAAGTACTTGGCCATGCACTTGGGAATCTTCTATTTGCCAATATCAATGTGAGGCTACTTCCACACATATTGATACCTTCTTAGCACCATTTCAGAGTTCAGACACAACTTGTGTGAACCACACTAAGCTTTCCAAGTATAGGGACCTGCAATTTTTTTAGGACGGACCAAAAATGAAAACATGCACACCTTTTTGGGGCATACGGAGTAAGCTTTTCTAGCTCAGTGGTCTCCTAGCCATTTGTGATATTGCTTGCCCCATTTTGCTTGTGTCTTGTTTTTCCATACTTTATGGTAATTTTGGAACTGCGGTTGTTGCTTTTGAAGCTCAAAAATGAACTACTTTCTTGAGAATATGCTATAAATTTCGAATAACCTTTTAAGCATACTTAGATGCTTCATTTGATGTGGTTTAGCCTTGTCTTCGTGTAATGCAACTGAACTATGTTTTAATCAGCATGTAACAACTATGCTTGTGTCTTTTTCTAGTTTTCCTATTAGTATTAACTTCTCTGTGCAGGTGTCAGGCCCAGTTGTTGTTGCTGATGGAATGGCTGGTGCTGCCATGTACGAGCTGGTTCGTGTCGGGCATGACAATCTCATTGGAGAAATCATTCGATTGGAAGGAGATTCAGCTACAATTCAGGGTATGTGTTTCAGTCTTATTCTTTCATAATCCATGCTAATATGTTATTCTTCCCCAAGAACGTGTCACTCTTTTATATCCATCTCCCACGCTTTTCCCTTTCTCTGTTGGCTGGTAAAGTGTGGAAGTGAATACTAGGTATGTCTTTTGATATTAGTGTGAGTAGATCAAATTGCAACTTGCAAGATCCACAAGAAAACCATCATTTTTTAATAAAAAAGAAAAATTATTCTAATTGCTAGTAGAAGTTCTTGAATGAAGTCCTGGTTAAAGACAAGAATGAGAAAGAGATTATGGAGATAGATACCAAATCCTAGACCATATGGAAGATATTTATAACTATATGCTGTCATGCAGTTTATGAGGAAACAGCTGGGCTGATGGTTAATGATCCTGTTCTGCGTACCCACAAGGTGAATACATACTTGTTTTCTTTTGATCAATATGGTATTCTGTTTATGATCTGTACAATTAATTTTAAGAATTTTACTTTTGAAATTACAGCCTTTGTCAGTGGAGCTAGGCCCTGGTATACTGGGGAACATTTTTGACGGCATTCAGGTTTTTAGGCCATGCTACTGACATTGTTTTAGACTTCAAATTTTTTATTCCCTTTGTTCCACTATTTTTGTCCCTTTTTACCTTTTATGTCTGTCCCACTATTTTGTCCCATGCCATAGTTTTTGTGTGGTTCACATTCATTCTTACTTTTTAACATCAATATCAACCACACCATCTTATATAACTTAATTTCTATGCTACTCCCTCATGTCCAATAAATAGTGGGACAAAGGGATCAATTGTTTCATGGTGGTGTTTTTTTCTTAAAGAAGGAACTCCTCGATAATTCCCCCCCCCCCATTTTAAATTTTATGAACGCAGAGGCCTTTGAAGACCATTGCAATAAGGTCTGGTGATGTTTATATTCCACGTGGTGTATCTGTTCCAGCACTTGACAAGGACATACCTTGGGAATTTCAGCCAAATAAATTAGGTATCTATTGGAAAGCCCAGCATAGTTTTTTTTTGTCTTGTTTTTGTTTTTCAGTTGTTTCTTTGTTTTGTAAAATGATCTATGGAGTGCTTACTAAACTTGCTGTATAATTGCTAATCACTTTATTATTTTGATATTATGATGCCAGTTGAGGGAGACATACTAACGGGTGGAGACCTATATGCTGTAAGTGTGATACACTTTAGATTTGCTTTTATATGTTTGAAAATAGTTTGTATTAGTACAGTTTAAGTATTCACACATGTATTCTTTTTGCAGACCGTCATCGAAAATAGTTTGATGAAACACCATGTTGCACTCCCTCCAGATGCCATGGGGAAGATAACATACATTGCACCACCAGGCGAATACTCATTGAAGGTTTGCATTTTGAAATATTATCCCTCTTACAACCCCATTTCAAATTTCTATCATGCACACTGCATGGTTATGGTGTTTGGGTTATGAACTAAATCATCCATCATCCTTACCCTTCTTTTCTGCTCGCCAAGCACAAAGGACAGAAGAGGCGGACACATGAATGATGTCAGCTAGTCATTATCCAGTTAGTAGTCATTTTATGATGAGCTTCTGTGTACTCACTCTTTGTTTCTGCAGGACACTGTTCTTGAACTTGAGTTTCAAGGTATCAAAAAACAATACACTATGCTCCAGGTAACTAACTGAACTTGAANCCCCCCCCCCCCCCCAAAGCACCCCACCCCCAAAAAAAACTATGCTTGAGGATGATGCTCATCGTTACCTCCCTCTGTATCTGCAGAGTTGGCCTGTACGTAGGCCCCGGCCAGTTGCCACAAAGCTTGCTGCTGATACTCCTCTTCTAACCGGGCAGGTAATGAATGACTTGACCATTATGACCTGCCACAATGTTTTTCCTTTTTCTGCAAAGTTTTCATCTTTAATTATCTATTGGTTTGACATTGTGTTATATCAGCGTGTTCTTGATGCTCTGTTTCCTTCCGTGCTTGGTGGTACTTGTGCCATTCCTGGAGCATTTGGATGTGGGAAAACTGTGATTAGTCAGGCTCTCTCCAAGGTGACATATTTGCTTAAATGATTGCTTCCTTACCCTCTCATAAAATTATAGGGACAAAAGAGTTCATATATTTAATTAACTTTTTGAGCTGCTCTGACTTCTATTTTTTGCATTGATATATGAACGAAGTACTCTAACTCAGACACGGTTGTTTATGTGGGTTGTGGGGAAAGAGGAAATGAAATGGCAGAGGTATGCAATTTGACATTCATGCTCTCTTTTTTCTAATCTTAGACATTCACTTGTAGGTTTTCTTACCCAAGTACCTAATTTCAGGTGCTCATGGATTTCCCTCAATTGACTATGACATTGCCGGATGGCCGAGAGGAATCTGTCATGAAACGTACAACACTTGTTGCTAATACTTCCAACATGCCCGTGGCTGCCCGTGAGGCTTCAATATATACAGGTAGACTTGGTTACCTTTCTAAAACCAATCATTAATTAATCATTTAAAGCACATCAATTTTTTTCCACTTTCCATTTTGTTAGGGTTTTTATTCATTTTCTTCTTGCGGTACAACAACAAAAAACCCAGTATATTCCCTATATGTACACAACCTTACTCCTCTAAAAACAGTGATGCTAGTTCTGTTAAACTCTTGATACATTTAGAGCTCAAACCTTGATAGAAAGTAAGAAGCATGTGAAGTTTAATTTGCCATTTTGGTTTAGTCCACTATTTACCTGAAGTTAAAACATTGTCAAAATGACTCTTTCTGTATACATACTCCTTCCATCCCAAAAAAAAGTCATCTTTACCATTCTAGGGTCGAACTATATTTTTTTGTAACGTAGGGAACATATAATTTGACATGTTCAAGTTTATAATCCAATTCACAGTTCTCAAGAGGGAATTTTATTTTACATGTTGATGCTTAGATGTTCTTAACGGTGAATTGTTTTGTCAATATTACTCCAGGAATTACCATAGCAGAATATTTCAGAGACATGGGGTACAATGTGAGTATGATGGCAGATTCTACCTCTCGATGGGCAGAAGCCCTGCGTGAAATTTCTGGTCGACTGGTGAGTTTGTTTTTTGTTTGTTTTGCATGTATAAGTGCAAGTAATACCCATTGTTCATTGTTGAGAATTATCTTACATTAATGTTCTATAAATCATATGGGTGAAGCTACTGTAACTCCATCTGAAAAGTTTAACTTGATTGGCCAACACAATTTGATAGCTTGGTGTAGGCATTATATTATTATACTTATATACGTATATCATAGTTTATTGCTTCAGCTTGAAACAGGCTGAAAGACTGAAAGTTAGTATACCTTGGTTTTCTTATTCAGGCAGAGATGCCTGCAGATAGTGGTTATCCTGCTTATCTGGCCGCACGGCTGGCATCTTTCTATGAGCGTGCTGGAAAAGTAAAGTGTCTAGGTGGACCTGAAAGAACCGGGAGTGTAACCATCGTTGGTGCTGTTTCACCTCCTGGGGGTGATTTTTCTGATCCTGTTACATCTGCAACCCTTGGTATTGTTCAGGTAAATACAATCACGTGGCCTTAGTCTTTCAAGAATATGAGCATGAGAGCATCTGGAATTAATTTTCTACTTTTAGGTGTTTTGGGGCCTGGACAAGAAACTGGCACAAAGGAAGCACTTTCCTTCAGTAAATTGGCTGATTTCCTACTCCAAATACTCAGGGGTGCGTCTTTTCGCTCTTGATATAATTTACTTAGTTCAGCAGAATATCTTATTGAGTCGCTTTGCCTTGAGAAAATCTCTTGCCTTAAAACTCACTTCCAGGCACTGGAGTCCTTTTATGAGAAGTTTGATTCTGATTTTATTGACATAAGAACAAAAGCACGAGAGGTACTGCAGAGGGAGGACGATCTGAATGAAATTGTGCAGGTATTTGTCTCTACTTTTCTTATAGTAATATTATTACAACAAATATCAGAAGTGATGGAGTACATTTTAAGAGCTGATATAGCGGTATTCCTTTGTGGTCAAATATTGCTGTAGCAGTTGAACTGCTGTTTGGCATTTTTTGTTTACTAGCCTTTTTGGGTCTCTTTTGCACATTTTTCAAAAGTTGAAACCTTGCTCAGTTGCAGTCTGATCTCATTGCTATACCCCTAACCCCCCCTTTTCCCGAAACAATATAATTACCTGGGCTTAATGGTTGATGTGTTTTTTCCTGTTGTTGCAGCTGGTTGGAAAGGATGCTTTAGCAGAGACAGATAAAATTACCCTGGAAACTGCTAAACTTTTGAGGGAGGACTACCTTGCACAAAATGCTTTTACACCGTAAGTTTTCCTCCTTGCATCCAAGCCTTTCTTGATTTGTTTCACTTTTGATGGGTCTCGGAACTTGTGTACTCATTTTTATGTTATTTGTAATTTGTGGCAGATATGATAAATTCTGCCCCTTCTACAAGTCTGTTTGGATGTTGCGCAACATTATCCATTTTTACAACTTGGCCAATCAGGTTTGCTCTTCATTTATCCTTCTTTTTTTAACACTTATTATGCATAATTTTGCTATTGTTTTCATGAATAATTAGACTAAAATAATTGGATGTTGTTCACATAAGTGAGAAATTTTAGAATGAGGAAAAGCTTTTGTGCTGTATTTGGCTAGAGAAAGAAAAATTAGGGGGGAAAATTGAGGAAAAAAAATAAGTTTGAGAAATTGAGAGAATTATAATTTTCTTAGGTGTTTGCTTGGTTGGAAGTTGAGAGGAAACAAAGTAGAGTAATAATTATTGTTATGGAGTATTGTAATTTGTTTGAATAGAAAAGTGGGAGGAAAACAATACTCCCTCCTTCCAAAGATAAACTTCAATATTTGATATCACGAAATTTTAAAAATTGTTTAAAAGTAAATAGTGGATGGTTGAAATTTTTATGGAGAGAAAGATTGAGAGCCACATATTTCAATATTCCATTCCAATGCAGGAAAAAGGAGAAGAGTGAAATTTTATATGGGACAATAAAAAATGAGTAAATTCCATAATTGGTCCTTTATAACAGGGGGGTTTCCCTATTTAGTCCTCTATTATCAAATATTGCCTCAGTGGTCCTTCTTTTATGGGGATCTTTCCACAAATAGTCCTTTTTTTGATTTTCTATCATGTTGGAGTTAATTTGAGGACTAAAAATGTAATTTCACAATGATAATATATTTTTTTGTCATACGCAATTCCAAGTGTTGTTCCGTTTGCGTTGTTTGTGAATTACATTCGCTTTCTACTACAACCATAGTCTACAAATATGGTCTTCTGTCGGAATCCTAGCCGCAATCATAGTCATTATTTTTGTGTTATCCGCTTAACCAATATCAGAACACGTCACTAGACATAATGTTGATGTCAAAATTATACTTTTAGCCTTTAAATTAACACCCACATGGCGGGAGATAAAAAAAAAGACTATTTGTGGAAAGGCACCCTTAAAAAAAGGATTACGAGGGTAATATATGATAATAGAGGACTAAATATGGAAACTCCCCTGTTATAAAGGACCAATTATGGAATCTACTCATAAAAAATAGAAAAGAATGGAATTATTTTGGGACGGTAGGAGTATCAATAAGTATAACAACTACTTTACCCTTATAGTATACTCCTGTCCCATAATCATCTTCCTACTTATTTGGATTCCCTCAAAATTTTCTTCCACTTTTCTTAAGGAAAATTTTTTGTAGTCCATATTATATTTCTCTTTCCTCTACACAAACCACCAACACAAATTGTGTCAAGTAAAACTAGGAAGAAAATCATGGGACAGGTAGAGTAATACTGAGTAATTAATATTAATGATAGCAAACAACAAAAAATCCATTAATATACCATAAAAAGTAAGGTCAGCGGAAGGCGTATGTATGTAGACCTTACCCCGACTCGAAAGTAGAGTGGATGTTTCCAAGAGACCCTGCTCAGGCACAGTCAAATTATACAAACAAGCACGACCTAAGTGAGAACAATGTAAAAGCAAAGAATAAAGAGCAAACTATGGGCAAAGAAAGAAAGCAGACAGACAGAAGAAGCACACAATTCAACTCTAGCACTAGACCCCAAGCACAGAGAGCACATAGAGACAAGATTCAAGAGCCACAACACACTACCATTGGGGCCTAGAAGACTACCCAACTAGTCTAGTCTTAGATCTTTAAACATTTTTTTATCTAAGGTCAAATCCTCGGTGAGGTCTAGAAGCCTTAAGTCCTGTCTAATCACCTCCTTCCAACTTTTCTAGGGTCTACCTCTATCCCTACTCCACTACCGTAAGCCTTCTAGCTTCTCCGCACTGGGATCTCTGCACACCGCCGCCTCACATGTCAAACCACCTTAGCCTAGTTTCCCGCAACTTATCCTCCACAATTGCTACTACCACCCGTCCCAAATAATCTTGTTTTGAATTTTATCCAACCTCGTCTTCCCACACATCCATTACAACATCCTCATTTTTGCCACGTGAAGTTGACAAACATGAGTTTTTTTTCACCGCTGAGCAAATCCACTACATAGTCGGTCTGCTTATAGAACTTCCCTTTCATGTTAGTCGATTTTGGTCTCACACACCCAAATTAAGTTTCCACTTCGCCCAAGCAGCTCTAAGACGATGGACCAAACCAAGATATCAAAAGTTGTCTTTCTTAGGCACTGGGTGAGAATTAATCTCTACTTCTACTTCTACTTCTACTACTTCTACTTCTAACTCTGTTGCCTCACCACTGAACCAGTATTTCATGTATTTAGTCTTGGTCCAACTCAATCTGAAGCCTTTGAATTCCAGGGAATGATGCCACATTTCCAGCTTGTCCTGAGTCCCCCACAAGTTTTGTTGATCAGTATAATATCATCAGCAATTAATATCTATTATAGAAGGGTATAAATGGAAAGAGGTTAAAAAGTCAACCTTGCGCTACCTTTCCGTTCAAGGATGGGAGGAAAAAGTTTTGGATGGGCCCCACCACAATCTATAACTATTTAAATTTTCTTATCCTGCTGCTACTACCACCACTACCTATTACTGCCACGATTAGTACAAGAACTAGTACTACTAAGGAGTTTTATTATTGTTAGGTTTAAATACCCAACCAAGACTAAAAGAGTGCAAAAGAATGAGCCTGAAAAGGACTTCCCATGTTTTTTTTACTTAAGCAAGAGTTAAAAATGAAAAAGAGATCCCTTTCATTTAAACTTAAATAATGTTATTAAAATTAGAGTAAATTCTATAATTGGTCTTTTATAACAGGGGGGTTTCCCTAATTAGTCCTCTATTATCAAATATTATCCAAGTGATCCTTCTTTTATGGGTATCTTTCCACAAATAGTCCTTTTTTTGATCTTCTATCATGTTGGTGTTAATTTGAGAGCTAAAAGTGTAATTTCACAATGATAATATATCTTTTTTGTCATACACAATTTCAAAGGCTGTTCCGTTTGCGTCGTTTGTGAATTACAGTCGCTTTCTACTACAACTATAGTCTACAAATGTGGTCTTTCGTCAGAACCCTAGCCCACAACCATAGTCATTATTTTTGTGTTATCCGCTTAACCAATATCAGAACACGTCACTAAACATAATGTTGATGTCAAATTATACTTTTAGCCTTTAAATTAACACCAACACGACAGAAGATCAAAAAAAAGACCATTTATGGAAAGGTACCCTTAAAAAAAGGACTACGGGGGTAATATTTGATAATAGAGGACTAAATATGGAAACCCCCCTATTATAAAGGACCAATTATGGAATTTACTCTTAAAATTATTTACCATTAAAAAAACATGTTTTAGTTTTGAACACATAATGCACTAAATCAAATGGAACATTAAACTTCTATTTTATGTGAAGTTTTGGGCACAATGCATCTAGGGTCCAATGAAAACAGCCTCTGTGTTTTTACAGGGGTAAGAATGCGTACATCTTGACCCCCAAACCCAACAGCGTTGGGATTATACTAGGTTGTTTAAACTTTAAAAAAAAATGGCCACCACCACAGGCCATTGTTGTTCCACTTCCGCTGGCTATCATTGTCGTTCAGGCAACCTTATCAATTATTGTCATCTTTCACATTGCAACTTCCGGCATCATTGTCAATTATCGTTTGCAAGCTCTGGCGACATTGCCAGTGTTTTATTTTATATTGCAAAAATAATGTCATTCTTTTTTGATGTTTTCACACATGGACTGCTGATACATTGTCATCACAAATTAGGATAATTGATAATGACATTGTTAGAACAAAACTCTTACATTAGTTAACAAAAATAACTCTGAGAAAGGCATTATTATAACAAAAGCATGACAATCTTTAACAAAGATTGGCAATAAGAATGTCATTATTAGATTAAAATCATCACATTGATTACACAAAATCATGGAAAATGTAACTCTGTCTCTTACATGGGTCGTCTACCAATTTGTCTTCTGATTTTGTTACTTTTACTTCTATAATACAGTACTCATGAGTCAAGACGATGATGGAAACTAAAAAATGATGTCATTGTTTCATTACGTCTAAATGTTTCTTACAACAGAAATTCATGTCAATGTTAAAAGTTAATTACAATTTGTAATTATGTATGTTACACAACTAAAATCATGTCAAAGTTAGAATACGCTATGGGTAGTCATCATCTAACTAAACAGTAAACATGGTCATTAGAAAATAAAAAATGACATGTTTTTTTTTAAATTGACAAGTTCAAAAAATAATTCTATTATTTTTATTATAACTACTCAAATTGAAAGTTAAGGTATATTTGTTGATGATTTAAAAGTTGTACCTTTGTTGAGAAGGACACTTTTTACAGAGAATATTATTTATTGACAGTTGATTTTACATTTTGGGTATGTACTATGTAGGCTGTTGAACGAGGACCTGGTATGGATGGTCAGAAGATTACTTACACTTTGATCAAACACCGACTTGGAGATCTGTCTTACCGTTTGGTGTAAGTTGTTATTATTTCAGGCAAGAAAATGGACTTAATAGCAGACCGTGCGTGCCCATTTATGATTTCCCTTTGAACTTTTTGCCGAGCAGGTCACAGAAATTTGAGGATCCTGCCGAAGGAGAAGACGTGTTGATAGGCAAGTTCAAGAAGCTGCACGAGGATTTGACAGCTGGTTTCCGTAACCTTGAAGACGAAACTCGATGATTTCGCGCGCCCGTTACGGTATGTGGAGAAGATGTTTGGTTCTTCACTTTGCGCGGTTGTTTCGTGCAAGGCTGTATTTTGGCATCGCAACAATGCATGGTTCAGTTTGATTAAACCACAGGGGAGCAGTGAGAAATAAAAGCAACTAGTGCTTGTTACTATATTTGTACGTAGCTCTCATCATGTAGTTTGGCATTTTTTTCCCGAGTTGGGTGGGGGAGGGGGGGGGGGGGGGTGTTTTTGCATTTGTTTATTGTTCCATCATTGATCTGAACTAAAAATAAAGCTACAACCGAACTCTCCTCTCATATCATTATTATTATTATTATTTACTCTCTCCTTCCATTCTTTTCTTTCTCATTTTGACTTGGCATGCACTTAAGAAAGGTTGAAATTTTCTTTGACTTTACGAATTTACCCTTCCTCTTAATTGAGTATCATGTTCCAAAAGGTGAAATTGCTCACTCCGGGCATCCCTCACCCCTACTCAACGGGACGGGATTGTGAGAGGATATAAATCATAGTGATTTTACCGGGAAAAGAGACTGGAACCAGTGCTCATTGTGCACAAGGAGCTCTCCTCATTTTTTTGAGAGGTTGCTCCAACACTTTTGTTGGTGAGGCTCGATCTTGGGTCTCATGTTTCAAATTCCATCTCTGAGACCAGTAGAGTTGCCCATGCAGGTTTCTTCATTGAGTATCGAGAATATTCTATGAGACTCCATACTAGTACTTTCTTCCCACAGATCTCCTTGAAAATAGCCAACAGATCCAAAGCATAAAGTGTCTGGTGTTGTCGCTGCAAATCGAAAACGAGAAGAAAAAAAAAAGGCAAACTCAAAAAACCCAAATAAGGAACATTTCACCCCTTGGCGTCTGCAGGTGGAAAAATGGCACACCCAAATCTTAAGGGATATACAAAGTCTGACCAAGAAACTTCTGCTACCTCCGGTGAAAAGCCCAGCGAGGGAGGTGGATAAACTGGTCCGAGCATGGCAGTAAATCTGATCACGACAACTCGGCGAGGTTGAGGCGGTGATGACTGCGATCCGTGATGTGTCTTATGAGGCTGGAGGCGGAGACCGTCGGCGTTGGAGGAAGAAGATGGCGGCTGGAGGAGGAAGCCTTGAAAGTAGATCCGGATGATGTCCTAGAGAAAAAAAACCTACTCCCTTTGTCCCAATTAAATCGTCTATTTCGATTTCGATTTACGATGTTTGACTGACGTTGTTTTCAAATTATTTTTTATGAAAAATAGTATAGAATTAAAAAATAAAATTTACATATTTTAAAACTACATTATAAGATCTATAAAATTAGTGGTGACATAAATGGACCGAGGGACAAAATTTCATATTCTAGATGATTAGTGGAAGTGTGGAACATCTTTTGGAGTACCATTTAAAATGAGTTTTTCTGATCCCAAACTAGAAAAGAAAAAATAGTCAAATACTAAATGTAATGTACCCAAACGTTATATAAAGTCTATAATTGTGGGAAGGAAATTTGTTTTGAGTGGTGATAGTCACACCCTACCAAAAGACTAATCTCACCCCACACTAATTTCACTCCACTCTTTTTTAAAATAATCTTAATCCCGTGCTTTGCATTGATTCACATACTTTTTAAATTTTTTAAGTTTTTTATATAATTTTATTTTTTAATTTTCTAATACTCTGTATATGGTATGTGTTATTTAATTTTTTTATATTATTAGATATGATATTATTTTTGAAATAAAAGTTTGTTTTAATAATAATCCTCATTTAATTTTATCATATATAAAAATCTTTGTCTTTGAAAAGTATTATAAGGGAAAATGTGAGTAGTTTTAAAATTTTATATAAGCTTTGTTTTTAATTAAAGATTATAAGTTTTATAACCTTATTTTTAATTTATTAACATAAAATGGCGAATGGATATTGGTATAATACCCTAAAAAATAAAAGGTTTTATATAAATTTAAAAGTCATTGACTCATTTTGACATCACCATAGTTTTCTTGCACACTCCCCCCCCCCCTCTCAAAATGCCAGAATTACTTCCGTATGTTGGCATGTTAATGGGTCTGATTCGGACCGGTCTATAATAGTTTATATCCGTACCCTTTAAAAAAAATTAATCCTGACCCGTACCCGTTTACCTGATAGGTCTTGAAGTTTAATCCTAGATTTGACCCATTGAGTCTCGGTATCGGGCCGGGTATACCGTGATAAAAGTTGACGTCTTTTATTTCTCTATAATTGGAAAAAAATTAGTGAAAATACTATAAATGAAAAACATTTTAATTGAATACAAATAAAAATAAGACTAGTACTGTAAAAAAATCATCCTTTACCAAAAATCTACAACAAAATCTTATATTCATAATCAGCCTTCTTGTCACATTCATTAATGTTACAAGAATGTTTTTTTTAACATTACAACTAATTCCAAACTATTTATTTTATAGTACTTCATAAACCAACATGTACATGCATCTAAAGTGATGAAATAAATACAAATAAATTTGAAAGCTACACAACCCGCGAAGAAGGGGAGTTAGTGAAGAAAAGGGGTAGGATTTTGTAATTTTTAATATTATCTACGGAGTATTTATTATTTAACCGGTACGGGTTTTAAATGGGTTGGGACTTCTGTTCTATACCCGACCCTTTATTTTTTAAAAATAATGGGTACAAATTTGGGTACGGGTAATCGATATTTTTTATAATCCTAAACTCTCTAAAAAATTACGAGTATTGTACGGGTTCGAGTCTATACCCAACCCATTGACAGACCTATTGGTACAACTCATTTTAACATCACCATAGAGCCGCACAAAATGGCAAATTATATGGTGCCCGATGTTCCAAGAATGATGCCATCCCCGGAAATGCTTCCAAAACGCTGAAATGTCACACAAAGCACGATCATTTTCAAATGTATGGGATTAACTAGCTTCTTATTGCTGCTGCTAGTGCAGGATCACACTGTACGGGAAAGAGCCCATGAAAGAGAAATGTTCTTCTCACATTATTACAGATGTTAAAAGAAAATGCAGTTTCATCGAGTCGTAATCATTACAGATAGAAAAAACAGCCAACAAAGAGGAAGCAATTTAGCGGTATTGGCTTGCCAGTTCTCCGTCCTTGACAATGTAATTCTGGGCAGGGAAATCCTCACCCTTGAAATACCTTGCTAGCATGTCCTTAGTCCCCGCGGCATACCTCAGCTACACCATTTCACGTTTCAATAAATGTCTCATGAAGCTCATCAAATCGCATTCTGATCACGTATAATTTTAGACAGCAACACATTACAAGGTTGAAGAAGGGTTTGATATGATACCTGTGCATCTATGGTCGTTCCAGAAATGTGGGGGGTCATGGCTTGATTTGGCATGTATCTCCACGGATGGTCCTTAGGAGCTGGCTGTGGGTACCATACGTCGCCGCTGTAGCCTATATGTAAAAAGAGAAATAGGAAAACCAGTGTATTCGGACACTGCCAAACTGAATGCGAAAAAAAGTGCCTTGTATGGTTTAAGGGGCGTGATTTTGAAATTGAGTTAATTGTAAATCATGTAATGTTATGGGGATATTTGTGCATTGTTTGAGGTTCTATCATGAAAGTTCAACCTGATTGAAAGAGTAGTTACAAAGTGTAAACTATACAAGTATACATCACTTGTAACTAACTCCGCGTACATTGTAAATACTGCATTGTGCACTAATTGGAGTTCCATTGTAAACGGTCAACTTGATAGGAGCTCAAAAGGTGCAAGACAAGATTTACATTGTAGGGTTGGAGACTATTGGATTCAGCTAAATTGTAAATCCTAATGTTATTTGTTATGTAGATATTTGTGCATTGTTTGGGGTTCTATACCAAATGTTCAACCTAATATGAAGATCAGAATAGTAAAAGGTGGCTGGCTGGTTTAATTTGTAGTGTCATATTTATCCCATGATGGCTGAGATTTGGAAGTTTAAGATGAAGAGATGATTGAAAATACCCGCAATGTGTCCAGTGGAACAAGCATCAGCAACGGCTTGAGTGTCCATGATTGCACCCCGAGCATTGTTCACCACCAAAACTCCCTTCTTCATCTTCCCAATCCTCTCCATGTCAAACATTCCCCTGGATCACAATATAACGCAAAAGCCTTTTGAGAACACATTTCTAAGGCAATAACAAAAGATCAAGAGGAAGGCCGCGCGCGATCAGTTGAATTTTTACTTGGTTTTATCTGTCAGAGGGGTGTTTATGACAATAATGTCGCATTTGGACAGCATCACATCTAGGTCTTCCTCAAAATGGGCACCAATCTCCTTCTCCAATTCAGGATCCATCTTAAGACGGTCGTGGTAGAGAAGATTGCAGTTGAAAGGCTTCAATCTTTGAAGCAAACGCCGTCCAATCCGACCTGCTCCTATGGTTCCCACAGTCTTCCCCTCCAGATCATAAGCTCTGTAAGCGATTTTGGAAACATCCCATTCTCCATTGATGACCTGATGGTGTCCGGGCAGGAAATTTCTGACCAGGATTAGGATCCGCATCAGTTCATCCTCAGCAACTGAGACGACGTTGCTTCCGGTGACCTCCGCCACCGTGAGTCCGGCGGCCGCCGCTGCATTGAGATCTATGTGATCCGAGCCTATTCCGGCGGTCAGCAAGAGCTGCAGATTCTTCGCCTTCTTAATCCTCTCCGCAGTGACGTAGGCGGGATGGAAGGGAGTGGTGATCAACACGTGCAAATCGGGAATATGCTTTTCCAGCTCTGTCAATCGGATCAAACAAACAGAACGCACGGATTATGTTTCTCTGGAGGAATTGAATTTGCAGAGGAGAGAGTGGATCTTACCGGAGTCGGGTCCGTCTTTGTCATGAGTGACGACGTAGCGGTGGCCCTGGGACTCCAACCAATGGCGGATGCCGAGAGCATTCTCCGCGCAGCCGACGAAATTGGGGTTGAGAGAAGCATACTCATTAGCTTTGTAGAAAACTCCGACGATCTTTTTGCTGCCGGGAGATGCCTGTGCGTTTTCCGGCAGACGGAATTAATGCCCTGAAACATATTCGCTAATGTAACTGAAAAAGAGAGGATAGGATGACTTACATGAAGGTGTCGGGTGAGAGCTGAGGAGTTCCCAGGATAAGATAGTGCCTGAAGAAGAAGCCCATTTGCTGCTGCACGCCTCAACGCCATATCCTCTCTCTCTCTAGATTCTTGGTTGAAAAGTGGTTGATTATACGGAGTAATTTATAAATTGATACTCCCCTCAAATTTAAGGGAGAAAGACCAAAGTAGAACTAAAACATTGAAAATATACCAAAATAAGATTTCCATATTTTTATTCCCAAAATAGGACTTACATTACCAAACATGGTCATATACATTACCAAGAAAGTATAGTAATTTGCACATGTACACTGCCACATTACCACAATGCAAAGTCACATTACCACAGTGCAAAGTCCTATTCCGGGAAAAAAACATGAAAGTCTTATTTTAGTACTTTTCTCTATGTTTTAGTCCTATTTAGGATGATTTCTAAATTTAAAACAAAAAAGTTTGGATAACGCCCAATACTCATTTTCAATTATGGGCGCCTGTTTGTTTGGGAATAGCATTAGCGATTTGGATAAAATTTTAACGGTGCAAATTACTTTGAAAACGTTAACGCTAAACGCTGCTCGTACATAGCCTTTTCAAAACGCTAACGCTAATCGCTAATGTTGTTCCCAAACAGACCCTATGAGAAATTTTGTTTTCAGAAATTTGAAAAATATATTTTCACAGATTTGTTTAATGTTTGTTTTTGGACATTTGTTCATTTTTTTTCATAACAATTATACATAATATTCATTTGAAAGCACCAAAATATTCATTTAAAACGTCATTCCACTAAGAGTTGTCTAAGACCATGTGTTATGGGGCTTTATCGTTGCTGTGGATTGGCCAGTAACGCCCCCCCCATGCCGTGACCATGGCGACACACGGAGCGCGGAGAGGCCTTAAAGGCGACCACGGGCGTTGCCCGCCATTGCCAACATCCATTTTTTAGTATGTTGGCTATATTAAAAAAATTCTTTCCCTATAAATTAATCAAAAATTCCATCATCTTCATCTCTTCTTCATTCATCTTCAATTCTATTTTTGTATATCATGGATCCGAATCACCCAAATTTTCCGTATCATAGTACTTTTTTCAATTATTATCAACCCCAAATCGATCCAAATAATCCAAATTCCCTGAATTCACCGAATGGGCGAAAGAGGAAGAGGTTGCACTTGCCAGATCATACATTGACACCTCCGAAGATCCACATATTGGTATGGGTTTATTTTTTTTAGTTTTTAACTTTTTTAGTTTTTTCAGTTTTTATTTTTTATTTGTTTTCCTAACAACTTAAGTTTATTCTTTTTTAGGATACAATCAAACATCGTCAGAGTTTTAGACTCGTGTTCGGAGTCAATTTTTTGAGATGATGGGTCGCTGCCAACACCGCACCAACGACATGATCTCGAGTAAGTGGCGAGGCATGTAAAAGTTTCCAAATTCTGCGGTATTTGGAACAATGTGAATAGGTCACGAAAGAGTGGCCAAAATGGATGAGGCGTTGACCCAATACGCTCGTGAGCGTGGCGCGTTCATGAGTATCAAGGCATGGGAAGTCATGCGTGAATCTGCGAAGTGGCATACCGTCCCGAGACTTCAAGTGTCAAAAAGGTCAAAGACATATTCGTCAACCGACGTGGGTTCGGGCCATTGCTCATCTAGAGTCGAAATATCTTTGAACGACTCTGATGAAGATGACGAGGAGTACCCCATGCCTCCCGAACCTCGCCGCCCACCCGGTTGCAACAATCGAGGAAAATGTTTGATATCCTCGGGGAGTAATAGCAAGTTGGAAGAGAAGTTGGACGAGATATCAACATACATGAAGAAATTTGTTTCTCTCTAACAAGAAAAATAATACAACAATGACATGCACATGTTGTGGACTCCAACGGATCATTTGACGGCGCGAGTTAAAGATGATGCTGAGCAGGCTAAGGAGAAGATCCGGGGTAAATGGAACATGGACAACTAGTTATATTTTTTCCCGTTGGGTTTCAATGTATTGTTTTTATTCTTGTATTTTTTCCCCTTTATTGTTTTAATCGTTGTATCTTTTTTCTTCTCGTATTTTTTTCCGTTCGAAGTATGTTTAAATTAATATTTTAATTTATATGATTACAAAAAATATTATGTATAAAACAAAACCAAAACAATTGGTCAAGCCCCGTCAAGCCCCCTGCCATTACGTACCTCAATCCCCCCGCCATTACGTACCTACAAGTGGTGGGGCTTGATGGGAGGGCCAAGCCACATGGCACCTATGTGGCGGTGGTCAAGCCCCCATGAAGCCCCATGACAACACATGGTCTAAGTGTAAGAGATGTGTAATCAGGCCTAATGGGCTGATATGATTATAAATTAATACAATTAATTAAATCATTTAATTTTGTTATTAATTACCAATAGTTATCATTTACTAGGTACAATACTTTCTGCTTTGTTTGTGGAGTCCTAGGGCATGGGGAGAGATATGGGTGAGCAAGTAACGAATCAATTCCGAAATTTCTCAAAAAACCTGAGATTACTAAATCAAAAAATACCGAACCGATAAAATTCCGGAAAAGAATCATGCCGCACCGAATCAAATGGTTGTTCCGGTATTTAGGATCGGTACAAGGTAACTTCCCATATCGACCGAAGCGAACATATATACAAATATATTATAGAAACAACAATGTTTTTATATTTCTTAATAAAAAAATAAATTGATTTTAAAAAGTTGGTTCAAGTATAGATAAGTTACAAATAACATTTTATTTATATAATCATTTATTTGAATTTTAATTTTTTGTAGATAAATATTAAAAAATTAACAAACATTTAAAATGCTTGTGTTATCATTCTTTCTTTTTTGTTTGTCAAATATGAAGTAAAAATAAACTAAGTTTTATAAGTATTTTTGCATTGAACTAGGTAACTAGGCACGTATATATATATATATATATATATATATATATATATATATATATATATATATATATATATATATATTCATCCCAATATTTACCGAAACCAAAACCAAGTCATCCCGAAGTGATACTACGGGATCAATACGATGTAAAATCTCATACTGAACCGAAATATTTAATACGGTATCAGTACGAACCAAATTGCGTACCACGCTCACCCCTCCCTAGGGAGAGATTATGCCCCCATTGTGCTGCGGAATTGGAGGGCGAAGATTGAGAGGAATTATGTTCCAGAAATAAGAGATCTTGGCCGAATGATGGATATGGGGATTGAGGCAAAGTGGTTAAGAGAGGAGCTATCTGTGAGAGGAAGGGATGATGTGTAACACCCTAATCCGTCCAAGGTCTGCAGCCCCTTCGGACTAAAGTATAAACTTGGTAGTCGTAAAATTTAAAACATTTCAAACACATCTTATTTATCATAAATAATATTATTCATAACAGAAATAATACGGAGTTTTCAATGTTGCGAAAGTGTAATAAAAGATGTTACATGACAATCACAAATAATTAATTTGTGTCTTTTCGAAATTATTATTCAAATCATCACATCCGTCTAGACAATCTCATCCCATCCCATCTGCTGCCAGGAATACGTTACATCATTCCTTCTGTTTTCCTGCGTGTAGTGGTCACTCTCAATAGTAGCCTCTAAACCTGAACGTCGCTGTTGGATGAGTTGACTTTTAAATAAGGAAAGATTTAGCCTTTAATTCCTTCCAACCGTCAGGTGCCAACATCTATGTTCAAGTGAACATCGTTGTTAAGGGTTGTTTTGTCAAAGGAAGAAAATGGCCTAACATCGATGTTGCTGGGCCATCATTGTTGTAGAAAAACATTCTGCCAACACTCAATTTTCTTAGCTTTGATCACAACATCGATGTAGTAACATTTATATCGCTCTTATAAGTGCTATTGGAATGTTTTAGGGTTGGTGTAACAGCGATGTTCAACTTCTAACATCGATATTGGAAAATTTTCTGCCAAACCATGGTTTTCAGGTGCAACCTCAACATCGATGTTGCATGTTCAATATCGTTGTTGGGGTTGGTTTGCCAGAACCATGGCTAGCCCGTCAACGCCGAAAGTCAATGTCAAAAATCAATGTTCTCCAATTTGAAAACCAATTGTTGGAATCACTTATTTAATGCATTTGATTAAGAAACCAAGTGTAATATCTTAAAAACCACGTCATTAAGTTAAAACCCATAGCTAACCAAGTTTAATCCATTTCACATGGTTTTTGCCAAAAGACCAAAAACGAAAGGTAGTTTTTAACATGTTTTTGTTGCAGAACTATTTAAATGTGCCCAGAAGTAAAAATCAATGATAAAAGATTAAAAACCACTTGGTTGATTCGGACGACAAAACCAACACCGATAACCGAAAGCTGGATGCCGGTTTTTGAAAGCCGAACGCGACCTCCGAAAGCTGAATGCCGATTTTTGAAAGCCGAACGCGACCTCTGAAAGCCGAATGCCAAACGTCATGATTTTTTGTTTGAACGAATACCAATTGTTTTGGGCTTGTAAAAAAATTATGAGAAAGGTTATAATGATGCATGAAACCGTTTTAATGATTTTAACTTTGAGAGCTAAGTTTACAAAGTCAATGCCGGTTTTGATCACATTAAGACCGACTAATCTATTTCTAAGTCTTCGTCTTCATTCTTGGTTCTTGTTTCCACTTGATCACTTTGCCATGTTTTTCGCCTTGAGTTTGTTCAATGTCTTTTCATATTCACGGTGGTTTAACATTTATCAAAATCTGTCAAAACCGAACACCACTTTAGTACAACATAGACGTAAAGTGTGTTCCAACAAACACAACATCAACACAAAAGAAACCGTCATAACCCATCATATATAGTATTTATTTCATTAATACGAGCTGCATGACAAAGTGTTTCGAAAAGGAAAATTAGTAAAGGTTTAACATCTTTTTTTTTTGGATTTGAAAAGTATAGTTCATTGTTGCAAGATATTGAAAGAAGTTAGGAAGAAATAAAAAAAATGGAAGAAATTAAAAAGAGTTAGAAGTTGAAAAAGATTGAAAGAGTTGGATGCAATATTTGGTGGAGAAAACAAGTCTTTCTAAAAATTTATTTTTAAGGAAAAATGATTTTCATGAAAAATTATTCCCCCCTCCCCATATTTTTCCTAGAAAACCTTTTTTTAGAAAATGACATCCTAAAAAAATATTGTTTTTCATTATTTATTATTAGGAAATTTTTAAATAAGTACATTTGTGATATTTAAATAAAAATAAAGATTGTTTGAGATAATTTGAAAATATTTTAGCAAGTATAATTTTGAGACCAATATAGAACTCAATTCTCTAGGGTTTGGGAAAAGGTGAGGCGGGGGTAGGGGCGGATGGGTGGGGAGAAGATTTTTTTTCTTTGATCATGAAATGAGAAGACTCGATGAGTTGGTATAAATTGATATTTTCTCTTTGCTATTATGAGACAATATTTTTCCTTAAAAATGATTTTCTACCATTTATGTAACCAAACATTAAAATATTAGAATTAATTTTTTTGAAAAAAATATTTTTTTCTCCCAACCAAACCGATTCTAATAGTTAAAATTTAAAAGAATAGAGCCTTAGAAAAATTGAAGAGAAGTTATAGAATTGAAAATCTACTATTTAACCTTGTGCGACGCATAAGTTAAATGTTACTCCCTATGTTCTTGAAAACACTTCCCATTTTGACCAAGTGCCAAATTAAGGAAGTGTTAAATTGTAGTTGACTTCTAATTTTGTCCTTCATGTGATGAGTAAAAGTAAGATGTGATAGATAGATTATCAAAAAAATATGATGTGATAGGTAGGGTAAGAAAAAGTAGGGCTAAAAGTGATTTTTTAATAGAAAGTAAAAGTATTTTAATGAAAGAGAAAAAAATGAAAGAGGAAGCCTGTCCTTGGATAGAGTTAGTGGTTGCATTTTGGTGGCTCGTCGACATGGTTGCTATGTTGTTTTTCGTGAGTGAATTTCCTCTAAACAGACAAAGAAAATTCTAACAGTCCCACAGTCAGCGCAAAAAATGATGGTGTAAATTACCACCAGGGCAAACTACTCTAGACCGGGTCTAGGATGATTTGCTGAGTTTAGGTACCAAGAGGACTCAAGAAATGAAGATAGACTAGGAGGGCTATAGGTGGGAACACCTGCAGTCCAATTGTTATTAAGTATCCGTACTGGGAGAAATTACACAATATGCTCTAGAGAGATAGAATTCAGATCCCCTCTACAGAGGGTTACAAGTGCATTTATAGTGAAGGTAGGGGCAGGATGGCAGGCACGCATGCCTGGTCACGTGGAAATCATGTGAAGAGGCGATGGCTCTTTGGGTGTTAGGCTATGTAACTGTTTCTCTGGCTGTTAGGCTCTGTAACTATTTCTCTTGGCGTGTAGTGTTTGGCTAGGATGCTTGAATCTGCCCGTTGGTGCAGGGGAATCTAGTCTGACCAGATTGTTTCCAACTTGCTACCTTTCATGTAACACCCTAAATCCGTCCAGATCTGCATCCCCTTTTAGACGTAAGTATTAACTTGGTATCGTAAAAATTTAAAACATTTCAATAGTTGAAAGTTGAAACCCGACCTGACCCAAACCCGACATTTCAACCCGAAACCCGAACCCGACTTTTAACCAATAATCAATTCGATGTACCCCACTAATTTTAAAAAGATTAAATCTAATTTTTTTGGGTCTCTTTTTTTGTCTCATTTTCTATTAAGGAATTATAAAAAAGATTATAAAAGGCATACTTGATATAGTAGCACTTTGTCAAGAGATTGTACGGAGTGCTCATTATATCCATAGATAGGCTTTTAAGTTATAAAATATTCGGGTTTGAGTCGGGTCTGGTAAAATTATAAATCCACACCCGACCCCGCCCGATGTCGGGTTTGGGTAAAAAACTTCGGGTCGGATTTGAATTATTTTATTCTTGGTTCAAGTTCAGATATTTTAGTGGTTGGTCGGGTCGGTTAAGCTTGGGTTTGGGGTGTGTATGGTATAGTTATTGTAGAGTAGGGCTGGCTAGACCTGGCAAAATTTGACCCGACCCGTTAGTAATCCGAAACCCGACCCGAAATTAGCGAGTTTTGAACATGGATTTTGCGACCCGAACCCGAAATGACCCGAACCCGAAGACCCGTTAAATTTTCGGTTCAGAACGGGTCGGGTCGGGTTTGACCCGACGGGTTATACACTTAATTGCTTATTTTTATTAGTTATTTAGTTTTATATATTCATTTAATATATATATATATATATATATATATATATATATATATATATATATATATATATATATATATATATATATATAGATTTTGGTTCAAGTGAGAATGCGATCTTATGAAAGAAATAAGAATGAATCTGGTGCTTTAGATTATGAGATCTAAGGGTCAAGATTGCATCAAAATTAGGTGCACCAAAATGGGTTAAAAATGCATCATGTCGAAATGCATCAAAATCCTTTGAAAATGCACTATCTCAAAATCTGAGTGCAGGATGCAATCTGAGCCGCACGATGCATCCGATCCAAAGGCTAGATTTTATTCTTATTTCTTTCACCAAGGTGCATTCTCACTTGAACCAGCCCATATATATATATATATATATATATATATATATATATATATATATATATATATATATATAT